GGAGGGGGGGCTATAATCAGCTCTTCTCCTTTTTCTTGTGCCTCCATAGTTTACCCGGTGTGCAACACTATATCTAGGAGTAGAAGGAGGGTGAAATTTTTCCTGACTCCATCTGGTGATCAGCTTATGCCCTGAAGCACGAGAACTGAGATCCCCTTGTAATTTTCTTCCCAGCTAAGTGTAACTTCATATGCTGTTCTTATTCACATAAATGCCTCCCGTAGCAAATGTTCTGCTGGGTTTGATTAATAGAGGACTTCTCTGCCTCGTTATGTATCGGCCGCAGCGCTTGCAGATCCTGGAGGTGAAAACTTCAGATGAGGTTTAAATAAGCCGGACTGCAAACAAAGCCGCATGGCGTTCACTATCTATCTGCTCTGCAGTTTTAGGGGTCAGCAGTTGAGAGCCGGCAGTACTGTACCAGCTGAGACTTAATGGAGAGAGGAAAGAAGTGGTGCTGGTGGGGCAGAGGGAAGCGAGTCGAACGGAGAAAGCAGGGCTGACTTTCCCATCCCTTGAGGACTATATGCTTGCCTTGCCAGAGGGACTCACAGACGTGGGACACTTCAGGATCCCAAAGTGCTCTCATTTGCCCAAAAGCAGTGAGGGCTCCTTCTGCTAGTTAAAGTTTGCAGCGAATAAGGGGCCGTACTGTGGCCTGATACGGTCAGTATTTGCCGTGTTATTCCCCACCCGTATCTCCTCGTCAGGTTAGAAATGCAGAACATCCAGCCCTCAAAGGCTACGTGTTCGCTCGGGTAGCCCTCCCGTTTAGTAAGGCGGCTGATGTGGGCGCGTTACGCAGACGGCAGCCCTGTGAAGCGCCCTGGCTTCCCCGCCAGGCTTTTGGGTGCTCTTCTGGGTGCTGATTCCAATCTGTAAAAGCTGCCATGCGCTTTGATGTTCCCCCAAAACGTGGGATGCTTTTGCAGACGGTCCCTCTGTGTTCTCCTGGGACGTGCCTTGCCGCGCACCTTGTGCCAAAGAGAGGACAAGATTTATGCCTCGGATGAAGCAGCTCTTTGCTGAGTTGGTCGCTGACCATGGGAAATTGTGAAACACATGCCTGTTTGGTGTTTGTGCTGTCCATCCGCACCAGTTTCCTTATTGTGATGCGGCACTCGGTGGGAACTACCCGCTTGCTATCATTGCGCTCATGTGGTTTGGGTAGTATTAAAGGGCGTATAGATCCTTGTCCAAAAAACAAAGGCTTTTTTATTACCTTTGTTGGAATGAAGCAAGCATTCTTTGAGACATACCTCTGTTTCTTAATCTTTTTTACCTAGTAATTCAGGGAAACTAATTAATTCCTAACAGCCTTAACAGTAAATACTGGTTTCCTATGACAAAATCCATATTATTGCTAGTACGCACGTAAACTATTTTTTTTTCATTCCACTTGAGGTGTTGCATAGCTACTGCATGATTAAACCGAAATAATATTTAAAGCCTGGCTAGCCCACACCTGAGTATGAAAGAACTCAGCACTTTTGAGTTCACGCTTGCATTTCTTTTCAGTGTCTGGGTTGTGTTTATTTTCCTAGAGTATCAGAATACAGGTTTTACAAATCACAGCACAGCCCTGAACCTCCACAAGACCAGGCTGTGGCAGTGCAAGGCATAGAGTTGCCCTTATTCAACATGGCATTTTTACTAGTATCCTGCAAAAGCAACATTGAAGGGTCATTAAAAAACAAATCGTCCAATAAGCAGATGCCTTTGCTGAGGCAATGCAGATTCAATTTGAACCCTGCTTACTGCCTGTAAATCAGGAATCCTGTCTGTTCACATTTGGATACTGGTATATTTGCCTTTTTTTTTCTCCCCCTTCCCTAATGGAACTCAAACAACTCGCTCACATATCAAATTACTTCCCCATTCAGACCTTGAATTACTGTATCAGTCGTTCCGTATGAAGCGAGGGAAGCTGTTGCTTTTTCTAAAATACAACCGGTGAGGATTAGCTTGTATCAGCCGGGAAAAGCCACAGGTGTAATGGCAAGAATGTGGTCAGTGTGAGCAGCGGAGACTCGGCTGCGCGAGCTGTGAAGTGGGAGTTAAGTGAGGTTTCATGCTCCATCACCACCGTGGCACCATCTGATCTATAGGCAAGCTGTGACTTTAGTAACTGAAATAACAGCACTGGAAAGCAGGTCCTGTGCAAATTTTTTTAGCTTTTTCTTTTTTATTTCCCACTCTTACTCCGCCACCCCCCTCCACGCGCTTGGGCAGCGTTCAGCTTCCATTTCGCTCTCATTACTCCTTATTTTTAGGGCTGCAGAAAGCAGATTGAACGGATTCGGAGCTGATGTACCTTAAAGTCAGTGGAGGGACCCCTCTCAAGTCTCAGGCTGAGATGGGTCTTAGGGGCAATGTTAAGCTGACAGGAAGGCTGGGGGCAGGAAGCGGCTTTGGCCCCTCGGATGGAGGATGCAGCACCAGCTGGATCCTCCCTAATTCCCTTTTTCAGGGTTTTTGGGGCAATAGGCTGGATGCTGTCCTTTTGCAAAGGCAGGGAGAAGGCAGAAATCTGTTCTCATCACAGCGCCGTCGCGGCGCGGGAGTATGAACCTGTGAAGCATCTGCCTCCAAGACCAGAACTAGGGGTAGGTTTGCGGAGCGGCTCGCTTAGACACCGAATATGTTAGCCTCTGAGGGATCCGGGTTTACTGCTAAGAGGATGATTTTCCCTAGTACAAGATTCTGAGGTAACTTGAAGCCAACATCAATAGTTTTAGAAGGTCTTTACAGGCTGATTCACGTGTCTGTTCTCCGAGACCATCGGCTGCAAGCCAGGTTTGAAACAGAAACCATACAGCTGTGGCCAGACGGGCACTACGCTAGGGCTGATAAGCCCTGCTGGGGGCCGAGTGTCTTACCGGGGCCCCGCACCACGCTAAAGCACGCATCAGTCCCCAGCTGCTGAGCGTCGATGCGCTCCGAGAGCGGCGGGCAGAGTACGTGCTGGCCTGGAAAAGACCCTTTAGAAGTATCTCCGGTAGCTGGTCGATAGGGTGAGTTACACCTTCGGGCGCCGTGGACTACGAGCTGCAGGACGGGGCAGATGAGACGGCGGCGTGCTGCCTGCAACTCTGCCGTGAACACGGGCTGGTTGCAGGTGGCCGGGTTTTAGGCAAATTGATTGCATCCTCCAGGCTGCTGGCGACGTGCCGCTGTGAACCTCCGTTTGGTAAAGTTTGTGTCCCTCCCATTAAAGCATTCTTTTAACTTCTTGGGTTTTTTTTCTTCTCTTTCTCTTTGCAATCTAGTTGCCCTACTGGCAAGACTTGTTTGGTTTTTGTTTTTTTTTTTTCCCCCTTTAGAAATGTGACTCGGGGAGCAGGGGGAAAGAAATGATTTTAGAGGTTCTCAAGGCCAAAATCTGGTCTCAGTTAAGCTAGCGGTGGCTGTCAGGGTGTAACTCCATTGGATTAGACTTCACTGGTGGAGCTGGGCAATCCAGATCAAGCCCTGGGCTTTTAAGTATGCCTAAGAAACAGAAAGGAGGAGGAGGTTGCATTTTTGTTGTTGTTTTGCTGTTAGGGGAGTACAAGAATAGCGCAGGTGCTCATGCAGAAAGTCAGCTGAGCTTTGTTAGATCGTAACTGAGGATATTTTGCTTTTAATGTTTACCAAAGATAGCTCTAGACAGCTTGTTGTTTAGTGTCAGCAGTAGCACTAGTGTAGTCAGCAGCAGACAACACTAGAGCCGATGACTGGATGTAAATGGGAGTGTTTTTTGTGAAGTGCGTGCACACATGCATCATTTAGGCTTTACACGCCGGACGCTGCGGAGCTGTGAGCATGCTCTGGAGCGCTCTTGCCGTTTGGGAAATGAGAAAATGATCCTTTTTTTACAGTAAATCTGTGCTCTTCATAATTCAGTGCCAAAGCAATAGAAAAACTAGTTCCTTAGGGCTGTTTAAGGTCTTTTGCTTCTCTCTTTCGACAGTTGAGAACATTTCCATTGAAGGAAGAGAAGTTACATTGCTGGAAAGCCAGCGTAATTGGGTCGCTGGAGGGGGTTGCTAGCTCTTTTTGTTTTAGATGCATGCAGCCCATGCAATCTTAGCCTGGTTCTTAAAAAATTTGACTGTCGCTTAGGATGCGTGCAGCAGATGACAGACAGCAAGGGTGGAAAACTGAGGAACCCTACCATCGGCTGCGTATGTGGCAGTAAAACTCAGAGACAAAATAATGTGCAGTCCTCAGTATTTCCTGCTCCAGAGAGGTTTACCTGGCCGCGCCGACGGGAAGGAGCTGCTTGGGTGTTAGCTGAGACCTCACCCAAGCCTTTCCGTGCACTTTTGTGTTAGTTTTTTTTTTCCCCTTGTTTTCCAGCAATTCCTTTAGGCAGGAATTCGTGTTCGCTGTGCCTCAGCGCTCTGGGATTTCTCATACGTTGTGGGCTTTTAGCACTCGGAAAGACGTGCTGTGCCTGCCAGAGCACATGATGCTTCATGTGACAGAGCAAAGCTGCTGGCCCGCAGAGACCCAGAAGCTGCCTGATAACCTGGCAGCGCTCGCGAGCCCTCCGGTCGGAGCTAACAAGGAAATGTGTTTCTTGCGCAGGAGGCCAAGGAAAACCGTTGGCAAACCTGCTCGTAGTTTCTCTTTCCC